TGTAGCCTGTTGGCTAAGCATCGCTAATCCTGACCCTGATGATAAGGGCTTGTAGCCTGTTGGCTAAGCATCGCTAATCCTGACCCTGATGATAAGGGCCGGTAGCCTGTTGGCTAAGCATCGCTAAACAGCAGCACATTTGGATGCCAGCACAGTTACAGGCGCAAACCAAACTGTTTCCTTTAGAGTAACTCGTTCACCATGTGTCCCAGTGCGCAATGGCCACTTAGCAACCATAAAAGACCACATTAAACATCTCATATTATTGTTTGTGTAGCACTGCTGCTAACTTCAGAGAATTTATTTCTTTGGTGCAGGATGAAAATGTTGCCCTTATAAAAGGAATTCCTAAAAAGTACTATTCGCCTGTAGCATGAATGAATTAGCCACCGGTGGGGTAATGATCAGCTAATTGCGCTGAAGTCACAAGATCAAAGTTGCTTAAAATCTCAATAGCTGATTTTTGCCAGGTACATTTTCATGAGGATCTTAATTTGAATGTGACCTAGAGAAGCTTATAATGCACGTAATTTATTTCTTAAATCTGCTGAAATAACCTTTCTGCCACATTGTAAATCAATCATGCCACGGTGCCTTCCTCTGTTTCCTGAATTAGACTTCAAGATATTTACCTTGGACTGAGGGAGATGCAGGGGTCGGTTAATACGAGAAACACAAACACAAAACACTCGAGCAGGGCTACAAAGGCAAGGACGTCAGCACTGTGTGCGGGCTCTTCTGGAAAGGTCCATGTGATGTACAGCTGACTTATATTCACAGAATTCCTGAAATAAATAATGTAACTACCACTGAAGAACATAAAGAAAACATTTATTGTTCTAAGTAAACAAATGGTTCATTTCTTTTCAAATGAAATTATTGGTTTACAAGTGTAAACGTACCCAGACTGTCTGAACCAAAACCCGAGACGTAGACTCGCCCGAAAGGGAATCTCTCCAAACAGACTGTGGTAACACTGTAGAGCAACTGTAACCTTCTAAAATGAACACTGGCCTTCAATTTATTTTAGGTTCTTGTAAGTATGTTACCATGGAATTGTGTACGACAGAAGCAACCTCAAAAATAAGCTAATTACATTTATGACTTTTAGGGTGTATGGATTGAGCAGCATGCAATTTGGACTTTGTAATGACATGGTTAGTCACTGCATTGAAATCAGAAGAACCTACTGACTGCCAAGTATTACAAACATACTGATATTCCTAATATGAGACCAAGAATTAGAATTTAGTAATTAGTTGTCATTGGTGACAAACCACAGCACACAGTGCACAACAATGAAACATATTCTTGGCATTTAAGCCATATGTGACATCGTGACATAGCAGGGGGCAGCTAATTCAGGACCCCGGGAGCAGTGCTTGGGGGTGGTACCTTGCTCAGAGTACCTCAGTGGTGCCTTGGTGGTCAGTGATTCGAACCTGCAATCTTTCAATTAAAAGTTCACTTCCTTAACCATTAAGCCACCACTGCCCACTGCCCAGAATGATACCAGGTTCTGGGGGTGTAGCAATATCAGCACATGTATGCGTCTATATTTAAGTGTAACTGGGACTATGATCACACACGCTGCTCTGCTAAACTTATACCTGTATAAAGGTGATAGGACACCCATTACTGTAAGAGGTAAAAGGATGGTTTTTGTACAGGAAACACTGTATAAATTGGGCATGTTACTGTTAACATCAATTCCAATGAAAGAGCTTTGCAGACTCCTGGAAAGGCGTGGCTCACTGGTTCACTAGCGGATAGCTTTGCAGACTGCTGGAAAGGCGTGGCTCACTGGTTCACTAGCGGATAGCTTTGCAGACTCCTGGAAAGCGTGGCTTCATTGTTCACTAGCGGATAGCTTTGCAGACTCCTGGAAAGGCGTGGCTCACTTGTTCACTAGCGGATAGCTTTGCAGACTCCTGGAAAGGCGTGGCTCACTTGTTCACTAGCGGATAGCTTTGC